TATGTAACGACCTTGGCAATTTGCCATTCCGTTTGAGTATCAGTAGCATTCATGTCTCACTGGACCGTTTGATTCACGAAATTTGTACTTTTCATCTGTTTCAGATTGTCAGTCAACCCTCTCCAAAGAGAACCTCCTGCCTGCTGACGGTTCCAGCCAGCACCGAAACTTCGCCCACAGATTCGGTTGTTTGGTGTGTCCGTTCATGAGGGACAGCCTGCTGTGCACATAAACCCAAGCAGCTTACAGATGCACCACGCTATTTTTGTTTACATGGCGTAAGAACCTCTGAACGGAATACCTCCGTTTTCAATTTTGGTCACGGAATAACCTATACACCGCAAATCGATCGGGAAGCGGGGTTGGTGAACGTGTGCTCCTATCGACTACCCAGTTTTCGGTGGGGACGTGTCGCACGTGTGACCGCTTTCAGACACCACACCAATACAAGGGACGTGCGAGATGAGACCCGTCTGCAACTTAGATCATATGATCAGTCTGCGCTTCGTTTGTTACAGTACACCGATCGATAACGTGCATTGTCGACAGTGCATATGCGCAGTTGTATGTGGTCCATGAGAGCCTGGTACGATTCAGTAGGTAGATTAAATAATGGAACAAACCAAACAAGGGGAAACAATTCATAGAGCAATTTGTCTTGCGTCTTTATATCCTACTTTTGGCGGATTTGCTTGGTAATCCGTCATGTAAGAGAATAAAGAAATAATAAAAAAGATTAGCTTGACTACACTGAAAGTCTGTCAGTCCAATGGAATCGTTCGAGAAATTTTGCGGCCTAGACAGTTAGGTTTCCCCTGGAGGATGAAGATCCGACAAACAGGCAAAGTACTTTATTAGCGTTAATCTACTTCAAACATATATGGCACTAAATCCGCATCCAGCTATCAGTGAAAGACCGAGTGTATCAAACGTTTCATTAGCCAAACACATTGAGAACAACAAAGTGGCGAACAAGCTCGTTTTCCGTTATTAGTAATCATGCCATTATATCATCCACCATTCATCCACTCAAACACGTGTGCAACCACTTGAAAGTTTGACACTGTGAGCAATTTCACACAAGCACATATTCACGTATGACTGGAGCCGGATCTGAACCATCGGGACTCGAATCTAACGTCCCTGGTTTGTTCTTATTGTTTGACCGAGAGTATCTTGCATAAACTCCGACGATAATATTGTATGGTGCAAAGACATTGCACACCATCGTGCTTCGAAAAGCGCCGTCTCCGTAGCATTGCACTAGTCAAGAGGGACAGCTAGACAAGCGATACAACGTTAAGTGAAGACCACACGATAATCTCACCAGTATTCGCGACAGCTGAAACATATTGAATATGACTCTGGATAAACTTCCTAGCTTGACCGCCCTTCCTATTTTTCCAACCGCCACCTGCCTCGCTAAGCATCGCTCGCCGTGGCAACCTATCTGGTGACATGTGTAGCACATATCTCAACCAGCGTAATCTACGGAGGTCAACTACCTGTTCCCGTGGACGACCGCGATTACCTAAAACTCTACGCCCAACCTCAGCATTCCTCGTCCGGTTTCCCCACCAGACTCGTGTAATCCTATGTAGACAGCGGTGTTCGAATACCGACAGTCTATTTTTATCTTGTTCCTTAAGTGGCTAAGTCTCTGCGCCGTATAACAGAACTGGCCCAACTGCTGCAGCATATACTCGACCCTTCACAGACAACCGGATGTCGCGACGGCGCCACAGATGTCTCAAGTTGGCAAATGCCAAACGAGCTTTCTGTATGCGCGCCGACAATTCATCTGTGATGCGTCCATCGGGCGAGATATAGCTGCCCAGGTTGCCTACTTTCTCTACAACTTACCGGGTCAGGGTGAGGCTGGAGACTGGGTCAACCCAATCTTGGAGCAGCATTTTACACTTTGAAGGTGCAAAGCGCATACCGAATATGGCTACACTGACATTCAAGTTATCTAGAAATGCTTGTAACTTACCCGGATCTTCACTTAGTAGCCAATGTCATCTGCGTACTCTAGATCAGACAGTCTGCCACTTGGGAATAAATCGATGCCGCCATCCTCGCACGACTGTAGGGCTGTTTCAAGAATTAAATCTATAACAAAGTTAAATAGAAATGGAGAGAGGGCAACCCTGTCGAACACCACTTTCGGTGGTGAACTCGGATGAAAAAGTGCCGTAAGCTCGAACTCGGCTTCGGCTATTATTATAGAGGGATCGTAATATTAAAATAAACTTCTCGAGCACACCCTTCAGGGAAAAGCGGCGCCAGAGTTTAGAGCGGTCGACTGAGTCGAAAGCCGCTTTCAGGTCGAGGAAGATAGAAATGGTGGGTCTACGAAAAGTGTGTTCTAGAATTTTACGAAGAGTAAAGATGCGGTCGATACAATTTCGACCAGGTCTAAAACCAGCCTGGTTCTCACGTGTGCACTCTTCACGAGTGGCAGACAATCGATGGAGTATGATCCCAGCGAGAAGTTTAGAGGCAATATTGATTAAACTAATTCCTTTGTGGTTTTCACAAGAGGACCGGTCGCTCTTCTTGTAAATCGGCATGATCACCGATTCATACCATTCAGTTGAAACACGGTCCCTTTTCCCACACTGAACCCAGGAGTTTTGTTAACTCCAAAACCAAACCTAGACCTCTATCCTTAAAAACCGATGGGGACAGCCCGTCGGGGCCGGAAGCCTTATACCTTTTGAGATAGCTTACTTCTCGGATAACCTCTATTTCAGATGGAGGACTGATGTCAACCGGCAGTATTCGCACAGCTGAACCGGGTGTGGGGAGGTCGTGTTGACAAGGACCAGCTGAACTGAAATGTTCTTCCCATCGATCTAGACGGCGTTGCTGAAAATGGATCAGTGTGCCGTCGGACTCTTTAATTACCTCACTTAGGCGTTTAAGGGATTTGCGCGCTTTGTTGTAGTTTTAATCCGAAGGAATGGCTTTGCAAGCGTCCTGCAGGGCAACTGAAGTAGGGGAAATCCATCAATTTTTATTTGGTCGTGAGTCAGAATTTGCTGTTGTTTCGATGGACTATTCGATCGCTTCCTTGATTACCGTCCAGTGCTCACTGAGTTCTCCGGCTGATCGTTGTGCTGAGAGACGATCTGATAGGCCGATTTGCAACCATTTCTGACATTGTATCTTGGGCATCCGTTTTTGGTGGCTTTTCTGCAGAGCATGGTCCGTGTCCACGGTTGTTGACCAGTAAGCGCGGCAGTCTTCAATGGAGCCTCGCCAGCGGTGGCTGATAGCAATGTCGTCGATTTGAGTCCAGCTCTGTGAAGCGGTTGGCGGGCTCCATGTAATACGGTGCCGTTTTTTGTGCGAGAAGTTCGTGTTTGACAGAAACAGCTCGTGATCAGCACAAAGTTGGAGTAGGCGTTCACCGTTGTCAGTCCTGTTGCCTGGGATTGCATGTGAACCTCCAAGTAACCTCTCTGATTCGTTCAGGGATCCCACTTGAGCATTGAAGTCTCCAGTGACCACCATGATGTCCGTTGACCGAGCACTTCGGGGTAGTTGAGAGAGGTCCTTGTAGAATTCACCCTTCACTTCTGGCGAACTGCAGCCTGCCGGTGCATACACATGCGACGAATAAACATCGACTTTTCGTTCTGTATCTGTTGACTCGTACTGAATCATCCAAACATAATGCGCAAAGTCGGCTGTCAAACGGGATCCAATTGAGAAGTGAAAGCTCGGCCTTGACACTCAGCACAATCCCGACACCCGCAACACCGCGAGCTTAGGATGCCGAATCACCTGACACACGAAGGGTGAAGCGTGAGGATGAGGTTGGATCAGGAGAATGCAGAGAGATAATGAAAGTGGGGTCTTGTATGCGTGTTTCGGAGACACAACATAGATCTACATTGAAAGTTTCGAGAGTTTTAGCCAGGACAGCTTGTTAGCCAGTCTGATAGAGCGTGCGGACATTGAACGCGGCCAAGTGAAAAGGGGATTTCGGCTTTAAAAATCCTATAGCTTCTGAATCTCTGGCCTTGANCCGGAGCCTTTGACTCAATAGTCTGACCCGCAAGGCAGCGGGAATTTGTGGGTTTTTCTTTGGGAACCCTAACCGGAGCCTTTGACTCAAGAGTCTGATCCACAAGTCAGTGGGGCCTAAATCCAACGCGGGAGCGTGAACGAAACACCCGTGTGGAGCTTCTGGAGACCTGTTGCGCAAGGCGTTTGAATTTCGATTGGTTGTTTTGTTCGCTGGTGCGTTGATTATCGGTCCGCTTTTCGGGATCGT